CAGCTCAATTGGTGAGAAATCTGTGGTTGGGGGCAGCTATTTCCAGGTACGTTGTTCCCTTACCTTATCTACTCTCTCAATCTCTTCTTACCGCGAGGAAGTGAGTCCAACTTGAGAGTCCTCTCTTTCGGTGAGGTGTCGTGTGCGCGCTACCTTGAGAGACGACAATCTTCCCGGAAGCATCTGGAAGGAGAAAGGGCGGTGCTTCTGAAGGGCCCTGGTCGAAGCATTGGGTCACGGTCACCATGCCAACCCAATGGGAGTAGGTCACGCATGCGATGGCCGCTTGTCCATTTTGGCACTTTGCTGCACTGTAGAAGTCGTGTCGGGTGTGCCAGCCCATAAGAGACGCTTACCAGACTGTCTATAAATACTTCTGGTTGGGGACTCAGTGTTGATACTGGCTGTGATTGTCGTCCTGTCTGCGATGTTAAATAATTCCTGCGGAGATGGGGGCTCTCCTTAAATCCCTCCTGATCAGCCAGATCACACCGGGTAGTAAGGCTCGTTCCATACGAGGGTAAATAAGAGTGCATGGGCTGGCTTGCTCGACAATGACTTGGGGCACAGGGGTGGGCCGACACAACACACGAAGACACTGCTGCTCAAAGATGCTTTTCGGTATGTTGGATTGAGGGGAGGGTAGGTTCTAATTGGTGCTCAACTGTAGACACAACTATACCCACTGTTCATACATCTGCAACATAGTCTGGTTTTGTTCTTGATTAGTTGGTTGACAGACTGCTAATACCTCACAGACTGTTTAGTATTAGGATTGTTGTATACTACCATAGCCAGTTCTATGCAAACTTCTGTAAGTGAACTAATCATGACAAGACTAAACTATGTGGGCAGTCTTTTGTGAATGTTGTAGGCTGCCACTTGATCGGTCAAGTAGGGGACCTGCCGGACACATTTATTTTTAGAAAATTAGGTGCCGGTCAAACACATGCTGTGGTAGGACTCCAGCAGGGAGTTGTAGTGCAGACAGTGTTTGCCTAACTGATGAGCGGGTCAGACACCGATGAGGGTAGAGTTGACAATGCGAGATTGACACGTTCGAGATCACGTAGGGTCCCGTACGTGTTCCAGACCCTACAACCGGGAGACGAAGCTCGGCTTCGTGCCGAACGTAGAGCCCGTGCTCTTGCAGCAGCGAGGGCAGCAACAAACCTAACAGCTAGAGAACAGGCAGCAGCAGCCAGAGCAGCAGCAATGGCTAACGGCGCAACCTCTGCTGCATCCTCGTGTGGGGCTCAGTTGGGGATGCCCCTTGGATCCCCGGGTACTTCCGGATCAGTAGGCTCTGGTCAATCCGCAAGTCAAATGGCGGGCTCGCAGTTAAGCCCGTTGACCCCACGCGGTAGGGAGCTCTTAGAGCTTCAACAGGTCGAAAGGATCCGCGAGCGGTTAGAGAGGGAACTGAAGCAAGCAACCGATAGAGAAAGAGAGAGAAAAAATAGAACAGCCAGGCTTGATACGTTAGAGGCAGACAAAGTTGCATTAGAGGGTTTGGATGAGTCAACCATGACTGACCAAGTGAAAATATTGAAGAACAGCATGTTGTCGCTGCATGCGCATGTGCACAGCAGGTTAGACTTCATGCAGAACTCTTTAGACCAGATCTTGGACCTTTTGCAAAGGCCAAGATTCCGGCCAGCAGCACAGTCGCCGTTGCCGTTAACGGCGATGTCAGGCCCCTTTCCGGTACAAGCTGGCACGCAGCCAAGTGGTACGTCTGCAGCAGCCGCACAAACTGTTGCTTCTTCTTCTTCTGGGTCAGTGGTGGTTGCTACACCATCACCGCAACAACCTGTTCCTCAACAGGGACAGCAACAAGGTGAATGGTACCCAAAGACCCCTATGAAACCGCCCCTTGCCTTCTCCGGAGAACAGCATGCTGTCGCTGCATGCGCATGTGGACAGCAGGTTAGACTTCATGCAGAACTCTTTAGACCAGATCTTGGACCTTTTGCAAAGGTCAAAATTCCGGCCAGCAGCACAGTCGCCGTTGCCGTTAACGGCGATGTCAGACCCCTTTCCGGTACAAGCTAGCACGCAGCCGCACAAACTGTTGCTTCTTCTTCTTCTGGGTCAGCGGTGGTTGCTACACCATGACCGCAACAACCTGTTCCTCAACAGGGACAGCAGCAAGGTCAATGGTACCCAAAGACCCCTATGAAACCGCCCCTTGCCTTCTCCGGAGAGAAGAAGGACAACGAACTCAACACATGGTTGAGAACGGTTTCAGTATGGGTAAAGGCGAAGAGGACTTTGCAGGAGGAGGAGGTGATTACTGTTGCATCTTACCTTGAGGGTAAGGCAGCCAAATGGTTGGATGGTTTAGTTGCAAAGGCCGGGTACGGACGACGCATGGCGGACTGGGCTAAGACCATTACGTTAGACCAGTTCTTAGAAATGGTAGAAGCTCGTTGGCACAATCCACAGCAGGCACGAATTGCCACTGATGCGATGCATAGACTAGACCAAAGAAAGTTCAAGTCAGTCAGAGAGCTTACGACTACCGTACAGAGCCTCATCGTCGTTCCTGGCATAAACTACGATGACCAGTTCTTGCTGAACACGTTTGTGAGATGTCTCCCAGAGAATCTGAGAAATTTGCTGGCCAACGAGGCTCGCCTCGAGTATCACTCATTTGAGACCTTATCTAGAAAAACCTTAGATTTAGAGGCCACTCTAGGAAGTGCTCAACCTACTTCAGTTGACGCGAGGAAGAAGAAGAGTCCACAGGAATGGAAGAAGAAGGGGAGCAAATTGATGATGGTTGAGTCCGATGGGACTCAAACAGAGATCGAAGAGCTCACAGACCTGTTGGACTATTCAGAGTACGACGACGAGGAGATCGCTGAGGGTAGCACCCTCGCCGCAGTAGTAAAGACTAAGGAAGGTGGCCGAGGGAAGAGCCATCAAAAGAATCAAGGGCAGGCCGCCTCCAATCAGACCAAAGTTGCTGATTGGGTCAAGGCAGGTCTTGATCAGGAAGTCTGGCGGGACCGTAGAGTGCGTGGTGCTTGCATCAACTGTAGTGAATACGGACACACCCAGTATAAGTGCAAGAACGCAAAGGTCACCCAGAAGATACCTCCTAAGATGGGGGCACCTTCTTCCCAGACTTCTAGATCAGGAAACACGTAAGGCCGGTGGAAGTTTTAGCTGCTTCTACTCAAGATGAAGTGGGCCAGATACCCTCCCCACTTCATGAGCAAGCCATAGCTAATGATTCTTTAGTCACCCTGCAGACTCATCCAGACCAAACCATGCTCCCTGAAGGTATGTTCCCTGATCTGTTCACGGAGCCTACAGTAGTCGTAGAAAGGGAGGTTGTCCACGCCATAGAAATCATTCCAGGGAGAAAACCCCCAAAGGGGAGGATCTATAGGATGGCTCCGGCCGAGTTGGATGAACTTCGACCACAACTGAAAGAGCTGACATAGAAGGGATGGATCCGACCGAGTACTTCCCCCTACGGATCTCCAGTGCTATTTGTACCGAAAAAGGGGGGTACATTGAGGATGTGCATTGATTATAGAGGCCTCAATGCCATCACAGTAAAGAACGCAGAGCCTCTACCTCGCATAGACGACCTATTGGATAGGGTGCAGGGATGTAAGTACTATAGCAAGATAGACTTAAAATCCGGCTACCATCAGATTGCAATAAGACCTGAGGATCAGCACAAGACTGCTTTTCAGACCAGATACGGTCTGTATGAGTTTGTAGTGATGCCCTTTGGCCTTTGCAATGCGCCGGGTACATTCCAGCATGCCATGAATAGGATCTTCCATGACCACTTAGATAAGTTTGTCGTTGTCTACTTAGACGATATCCTTATCTTTAGTAAGTCTGTCGAGGAGCATGCACAACACGTGGAGACTGTACTTTCACTCCTGCTGCAGCACAAGTATAAGGTTAACCTTGAGAAGTGTGAGTTTGGACGTACTAAGATCTTATACTTGGGTCACGAAGTATCCGCGGAAGGTATTAGGCCGGAATATGCAAAAGTGGCTAGTATAAGGGACTGGTCACGACCTCAGACTGTTACTGAGGTCAGATCTTCCTTAGGAATGTGCGGCTACTATAGGAACTTTGTGAAAAATTATTCTACAGTCGCCTCTCCTTTGACTGATCTAACTCAACTTGACACGCCGTGGGACTGGAGTGATGAGTGCGAGGCTGCTTTCAAACGATTGAAGCATGCACTCATGAATCATGAGGTTCTTATGGTGCCCGATCCTCAGAAACCATTCATAGTGACCACTAGCGCAAGCCAATACGACATTGGCGCAATGCTGGCTCAGCAGGATGGGAAGAAGTTGAGGCCGATCGAGTACATGAGTAAGAAAATGCCATCAAAGAAACTGGCGAAGTCCACCTATGAAAGGGAACTCTATGCTCTATACAAAGCACTTGTCCATTGGAGGCACTTTCTATTGGGAAGGTTCTTTTATTTGAGAACTGACCATCAGACCCTCAAATGGATCAAGACACAACCGGCTCTCTCTGATGCACTCAAGCGATGGATTGAGGTCATAGATCAATATGACTTCAAGCTAGAGTATCTGAAGGGAGAGTACAACAAGGTTGCAGATGCGYTGTCACSTAGAGCAGACTACCTAGGGGCGCTAGTTTCTGAGTTTGGTGTATCTGAGGAGCTAACTCAATCGTTGGTGGGAGCCTATCAGGAAGACCCTGTCACGATGGACATCATACGCAAGCTTCAGGCAAAAGACAAGGCCACATAAGATGAGTTTGTAATGGTGGACGGGCTTCTCTTTCTTGATTAGGCCGGTTGTAAAAGGTTAGTTGTTCCATCTAGTGAACGTTTGCGTAGTTTATTTCTAGGAGAATGTCATGACGCAACCGGACACTTTGGCTACAAAAAGACGAGTGTCAATCTAGTACAACGATTTTGGTGGCCTGGAATGCTAGATGACGCAAAGAAGTATGTAGAGACCTGTCAGGTCTGTCAGCTGGACAAGCTGCGAACTCAAGCACCGCTTGGGTTACTGAAGCCCTTACCTATTCCAGCTGGTCCAGGAGAGAGTGTTTCCATGGATTTCATGGACACCCTGGTGACCAGTTAGAGTGGCAAGAGGCATATCTTTGTCATCATTGACCGATTCACCAAATACGCTAGACTAATTGCCATGCCAGAGACCGCAAGGACTGAATACGTCATCCAGTTGTTTCAGGACAACTGGGTGCGTGATTTTGGACTACCAAAGTCAATCGTTAGTGACAGAGACGTCCGCTTCACAAGTGAGTTGTGGAAGAAGACTACTGAACAGATGGGCAGTCAACTTCAGATGACTTCAGGGAATCATCCCAAAGCCAACGGACAGGCCGAGTAGATGAACAGAGTTGTACAACACCTGCTGAGGCATTACATCAAGCCCAGTCAGGATGATTGGGATGAGAAGTTGCCTCTCATCGCCAGCCTGTACAACAACGCTGTACACAGCAATACTGGCGTTAGTCCTAATCAACTGCACTTGGGATGGAAGCCTAGATCAGCTCTGGACTTCCTCCTACTTGAAAACCGACCCTCTACAACTCCAGGCACACTTGAGTATGGTGTGCAGTATGAGAAGTTGCTGCAGCAAGCTGTCGAGCATATCAAGAAAGCTCAACAAGCAATGATTGCTTCTGAGAACAAACATCGTCGGCAGTCCTCATTTCAGGTAGGGGAACGTGTCTGGGTCAAGGCTAGTGAGCTAGGACAGGAATTCGGAATCTCTCGTAAACTAATGCCTCAGTATTTTGGTCCATGGGAAGTCCTGAATATAGTTGGGGATGAGATGGATGGTCCTACCTATGTTATCCGTATCCCTGGTCACTTACACACTCACCCTGTCTTTCATGCCTCAAAGCTTGCACCTTTCGCTGAGACAGATCAATTCCCTTCAAGGAGATCGATGCTGCCCCCAACCATGGATGGTAAAGTGGACATCGACGACATTGTGGATCACAGAGATCTGCCTGTTCCAAAGCCACTGGGTAGAGGAAGACCTCTTAAACCCAAGCGGGAGTATCGCGTCAGATTCAGGCATCATACGGATCCAAAGGAAGATCGGTGGTTCACCAGAGAGGAACTGATTGACACAGCTCCTCAAGTGGTGGCAGAATATGAGAGAATGTTAAAAGGGAAGGCACCTGCGAAGAAAGCATCTCAGCGGACTTTCGAAGCTAAGGGGGATGGAATGTGAGGATTTAGCCCTCAAGAAGGGGCCTTGCCATGATGTACATGTTATGGGCTAAGGCCCCCAACAAGCCTCGTGCCCGCCCTAAGCGAAGGCGGGCCAGCAAATCAACAAGAGCCCTCTGTGCAAACATTTCACGAAGTGGGGTCCATACAGTTGCAGCACGCTAGTTGGTTGGTGTGCACCGAGTATCGGAGCTCTGCAAATGCAGAAATCCCAGGGCCCYAGAGTTGGTTAGGCCCTGGGCACATAAACGTGAGGCCGACAATGCATGCTGGATATAGAGGCCGAAAATGCCAATGGGAAACCGGTCCACTATCTGAATCTGGCYRCAGGCCTTGATGAAAGAGGYGCAACTGCATCTCCTRGGCCCCAACCGCATYGGGCCTGGGAACARGTACTGGGGYCGAGGCGCAGGCTCAAGGGAGGCCGCCCACACGCAACACTGGCATATAGGCAGGGAGGGCGAGTGGGCAGGCATCTTGGCCAATGCAGGCATTGMRGGCACGCTGCTGCATTSTAGCGCTGSACTTGCGCTGTGGCTGAGGGAGGCAGGCTAGCGCTAAGCGGTWGAGCSCTGCCTGGGCGCAGGGCGCTGGCGGCCATAGCCGGGCTGCCTGGGGGCRCAGAGGAGGAAGGGCGAAGGTGGTTCTTCGGAGGTGAAGRGSGCTGTGTGRGATAACAAGGGAGAGTGAGGGAGAAGAGATAGACGTACCTGGTGGAGGGAGGAGGTCGGCATTGGTGTTGACATCATCACTCGCTGGTCGTTAAGTTGTCTGGTTGCTTTCATTGCTGTAGTTGTAGTGATAGGCTGTAGAGTAGGTAGGGCGCCTGGCGCCATTCAAGAGAGAGAGCTACATTGGGTTATGCTGTTGGTGTTGCCCGATTGGGCTTCGACATTGACTCACGATTCTGCTGTATCGTTCTCAAATGGATGGTTACTCGGTTCCATTGTGCTATCTGCTCTTGCTTTGACTACTTGGACTTCAGTGTGATTTTGCAATCTGGATTTCTGTGCTTCGTCCACATTCATGTTCCTTGCACTTTCAAGTCATTTCCTGATAAAGGTGGCCAATGATTTAAGTATTCTACAAAAATAGGCTTTGCATTCTTCATCTGTACTCCTTTCAAAAGCAAACCTGGGCCCTGTTTAATGCCTCCCCCAGGCCCAGGGGAAAATGCGGAGGAGGTGGTACCGGAGGGCCAGGCGGGGCCCAGCGGAGTTTTTGTCGTCGCGACGTTTTTTGGCTTGTGCGGGTGTTCTTCTAGTCAGATGTTCGAATACAAGTACACAGCGAACCTACCGCCACTCGTCTTATTTCATGCGCGCCCTCCAAACATGTTTTGTTTGCCCCGGTGCCTTGTTCGAATACGACCCTTCCTCCGCTGCTCCCTGCACAGCTGTGTACATTTCCATGTTGTGCTGGAAGATTCATTGTCAATTTGAACATTTGGTGAACAGTGGAGCGACGCCCTGCGATGGCAGTGCATCTTTCCATGTTTTAGCATCTTTCCATGTTTTGGCGGGGGTTTCATTCTCAATTTCCACATTCGGTGAGCAATGGAGCAACCAGCTATGATAGCGGTGTATCTTCCCATGTTCTGGCGGAACACTCATTCTCAATTTGCTCATTTGGTGAGCAGTGGAGCGACACCCTATGATGGCATTGTATCTTTCCATTGTTCTAGTAGAAGATTCATTCTCAATTTGCACATTCACTGAGCGACGCTCTATATGGTGACAGTGGAGGGACACCCTATGATGCCGACGTATCTTTCCATAATCTAGCGGAGGGTTGATTCTCAATTTGCACATTGCGTGAACAGTGGAGTGATGCCCTATAATGGTGGTGTATCTTTTCGTGTGCTAGTGGAAGATTCATTCTCTATTTGCAAATTCTGTGTGGCGCACAGATGCAGATCGAGGAGTGAGGTCCATATCTGCCACCAGCACCTGCAGCGTACGCATCACCCCCACTACTGCACCTAGGCCAGCTCAAGAACGGAAGAGTAGGTGACATAGGGCAGATGAGAGAGCAATTCCGCCGCCGGGACTGTCGACTTCCAGCCCGACATTGAACCGCCGAGCCAATCAATCAATCAATCAATCGATATCATAGTTAAAGGTTTTTTTTTTTTTTTTTTTTTTTTTTTTTTTTAA